AAAAAAAAAAAAAAAATCTCTTTGTTCATTGCTGTTTTTTTCCACATATGTGTGTGGGATCGTATTAATACACGTCTACGCTATACATGTGTTGATTCGGTTGCCTATCATCTGCCAAGGCTTTGAAAATACATTATATTATTTTATAATTTAATTTTTAATAAAATCAATTAATGTTTCCTTATATGAATATATTCAAAATTAATCCAATATTTCTTTCATAATGTGTTCATTCTTTCTAATTTTCATTCAGAATTTTTGCCTTATGTCCAATAAGATTTGATTCTCAATCTTGTCCATATATCTCTCTCTTCGGACTACATACTTGCAACTTTTGCAAATTTTTTTTTTTAAAATACTTTGGGCATATTTGGGGATTTTTCAGTTTACATATGTACTTTGATTCAATTTGAGCTTCATTTGCCGATAAATATTCAATTTGAGTCCAATTTCTTTACCCCCAATTTTTTTAAAAATGAAATTTGGCCCTGTCCAGAATTGGCCGAAGCGGCCTAGAACAGTGTTGAACCGGTCCATACTTATGTTTGGGCCGATTAAAGTTCCTCCAAACCCCGACCCAGAACTGGAGTTTGGCCATGTATAACTTAAATGCTGCTAATTATTATTATAACTCGTGTAGGGAAGGGGTAAGTTACTGATATTAATCGGGTTGTCTTAATTAACTAGTATTCGATTTTGTGCACATGCACAAATGTTTAAATTATTATAAATTATACCTATGTATATAACATTAAAAATTGTACGTTAAATAATAGCATTACATTTTAAAAAATTGTCATTAGTAAAAATGAACATTATAAAAATATTAACCCCCTCACTATATTGACTGCATTAAAGTGAAATGGATAATGTATGAGGAATCATAGCCTATTAATTATCATAAATATTATTATTATTATTATTATTTTTATTTATGCAATTTTAAGATGTTTGGTTATACCACTAATGCCAATTATTTTATTAAAAAAATGCTTAATGAGATGCACAATAAATAGTTTTAAGAAAAATTAAGCAATAATTTTTTGTGCTTATTGAAATTTCACGTATCATTTAGTGCGAATTATAATTGATTAGTTTCAGTAATAACTATTATATAATAGAATAATTAAAAATATGATTTACACTATAATTAACCATTATGGTAAAAAAATCATTGATTAGATTATAATTACAATTTTTTTTCTTAATAATAATAATAATAACAATAATAAGAAAGTGCTACCAATTATTAATAGCCTTCAAAAATTGTTCCTTCTGCAACTCAAATTTAGTAAATGTAAGTTGTACTTTCCTTGAAATGTGCATATGCTTAGAACCACCCAAATTCGTAGGGATTCCAAAAATATGAAGGATATATAATAACTAGAGAGGTAGGTTTTGTTAGTTTCTCATTCTAATTCTTGTCCTTCATAAAAGCATAAACTTACATAAACATGATTTGGCAAAAATAATAATTTAAAGTCAGGTGGAGCAATGTGGCTATCAGAAGATGAATTTGTAGAAATCTTGTCAAGATTGCCTGTACAATCATTGATCAGATTCAAAAGTGTTTGCAAGCTATGGAATGCTATCATCAACCATCCAATGTTTATTTCGAAGCATTATCAAACATTCTCTTCCGAAAAAAATACCGATCAAGATGTCTTGGTGAGCAGGCGCGACGGCATTACGAACAAAAGAGTCATCTCGTTGTTGAAAAGAGATGGTGATCACTACACTTTTGTCGATCAATACCTACCGACATTTTTGAACGAAATGTTCGGTCACGTTAGGTTGATCGGCCCTTGTAATGGGATCGTTTGTCTTTACGGATTTCCCGACAACATTGCGCTGTGGAATCCGAGCATTCGAGATTTTAAGAAACTACCTTTATCCTTAGTGTCACGCCCTCATAATGCTAAAGTACGAGGAGGTGATGTTGGAGTCGGTTTTGATTCCAAAACTCGCGATTTGAAGGTACTGCAAATCTTGTTCTGTGTTTCCCAGGAAGATCGTCTTATTTACCATGTTGAGATATATTCGTTAGGAACAAATTTTTGGAGGAAATACAAAGGTATTGTGCCGGCAAACATTATGTACCATAATCTTTGGAGCATGGTGTACAAGGAAGGAACGTTTTGTTGGTGGGCTCAAGAAAAAAACGTCGAGGTGATTCTTTCATTCGATATGAGCAATGAGGTATTCCAAACGACGCCTTTGCCATCTAATATCGATGATGTTATAGGAGAACAACATAAAATTAGTACTAGAGCAATTATGCCGTTGAAAGAATCGCTTGTGATGGTCGTGTATTGCCCCCAAGTACTCAACAAAGTTTTTGACGTGTGGGTTATGAATGAACTCGGAAGGGATGGAGAATCTTGGAGTAAGATAGCAAGTATTGGCCCTCTTTCGAGAGTCGAGAGGCCGTTAAGATTTTGGAACAACGATGATATCATTTTCGAGAGTAACATCGGAGAACTGGTCGTATATGATCGTGTCGATGAAGACATCAAAAACCTTGAAGTTTATGGTAAACGAAGTAGATTGGAGGTACTTGTTTATAAGGAGAGTCTATTTCCCCTCAATGAAGCTTGTGTAAGTAAGTAATATTATTATATATTGTATTTTTCCCATTCATTTCTTGGTAAATGAGCTAGCTTTGAATATTGTATTTTGATAATATTCTTGTTGTTGTAGTTCATAAAATAGATTAGATAATTGTAGAAGTACTTCTTTGTTACTGTGAATTTGTTGGACTCATTACATAATTTTTTGGGAATTTTCAAGTGTTATATTTCCCCAATAAACACCACATTTGCTTTCATCTCAATTTCAACCACTTAATTTCAAAAATTACATTTCTATGCATTTAGCTACAAATAATTAGTAAAAACAAATTAGGCAGCCACATCCATAATCTCCCATAAACAATGCTTCAATGATCATACTTCCCAAAAATTTCAGAGGTTGTTATTTCGTAACTTGAATATAGATATCAAATAGTTGAATTGCTAGTAAAATTTATCCACCAAGAAAAAGATACAACTTCGGCACAAAAAAATTCTTAATGGAAATACATAGTACGATCAACTTTACATCACGAACCTCATTCATCCGAATACAAAAACACGAAAAAAAAAAAGGAAATCAAACCGGCGATAAATCTACCGAGACCGATCTCCTCCTCATCGGTTTACCCACATATCCAAGATCCACATTCGCCCTATCACATCGACCCAAATCACTCACCACCCGAGCAAACTTCCCACCACTAGTCGAGCCACTACCCTCCTTGAACCGGGTCAATGCAATTTGGGCCGGTTTATCACTCGGCCCACCAAAACAACGTTCACCCTCACCCCCGGATTCGCCCTCCCCAGCCCGATCCTCCTCCGCCGTTGGGCCCACCTCACCAACCCCATCACCACCAACAAGCCCGCCCATCTTCACTATCGGAGCCCGACAAACAGGGCAGTTGGTGTGGGCCCTGAGCCACGAGTCGATGCACGGCAAGTGGAAGGCGTGGCTACACTTGGGCAGGAGCCTCAGCGTCTCGTCCTCCTCAAACTCGCTCAGGCACACGGGACAGTCGCTGCCCGCCGTCAGACTGTCCTGCCTTTTGTACTTAAACACGGCGATCGAGTCGATGACCGAGTCCGGCAGGCCCACGGTTCGTATGTGCCACACGTGATGGTCTACCGGGCCGGGCCCACTTTCGAGCTCGTCGATCAGGAGGTCGTCCCCGCCGGCCGGCGGGGGAGCGGCGGAGCTCCTCCTCCTCCTCCTCCTCGATCGGCGCCTGCGGATGGCGAAATAGACTAGGGAGAGAAAGAAAAAGAGAGAAAGAACACAGATGGTGAGGATCAAGGTAGACGAGACGTGCTTGGTTTTGGGTATTGGGAGATGGGCTGAGAGGTCTAGCTTGCAGCCATCTGGGGGACAGGGCAATTTGGGCCGCTTATCGTCTTTCTTGTCGGGGCCCTTTAGCTCTCCCAGCAGAAGCCTTCTGTGATTGAAAGCCATTCTTGTGTTCTGTTCTTTGGGAGAGGAAAAAACAGAGTAATCATCAATGGTGATGGCTAGTTATCAAAGAGGCTATTAATTAAGGGCTGTTTGGGTATGGAAAATTTGTGGAAATTGTGATTGTGATTGTGATTGCGATTGTGATATTTGTTTGAAAAAATGTTACGGTCCCGTTACAGAACCATTCCGTTGGAGTTTGTAACCGTTAGATCATCATGTAACCGTCAGGGATAGTTGATCTAACGGTTACAAATTACAAACTCATCTTTCTACAATCTTCTCGACAGAATGGTTCCGTAACGGGACTGTAGCATCTCCCGTTTGTTTGATTTAGTTTCTCTGTGTGTATGTGTGTGTGTTTGGGTTTGTGAGTGAATTTTCTTGATTTTGGTGGTGTGGATTGTAATTTCATTTTCAAAAGCAGGGGGGGGACCTGTGAAGTTTCTATGTGGTTTCAGTTTCTTGTTTTGGGTGTGTGTGACTGAAACTCGGTCAATACGCACGCGTTTACGTGCGCACGTCACTGTAGGTGGGACAATTGAATCAAGAGTCGGTCGGATTAGGCTTTCAAATTTGAACATAAATTGCCCATTGGACAAGCCAAAAGTAGCACATTTATCTTTCCATTTTCACATACAAATCAATAATTGTACACAACAAGGGAAGCTAAGGAGTAACTAATTTTTATTTTATTTTTTACCCGAGGCTACAATGTATGTAGTTGCTAATCGAATCGAGTCATCCTCTAACATATTTATTGATTCGAGTTGTATTAGTTCGAGCTTGATTTGTTTGTATATTTACAAGGATCAAATTCAAACAATTAATCAAGCTTGTTTATCAACGAGTTGAGCGTGTTCGCGACTAATTCGGTTAAAGTTTTAAGGTTTATTAAATGACTTAAATTGAGTTTATGCGAGTCACGCCTAAGCTTAAATTTTTATTTGTTTGTTAAATGAGTTGAGCCACAACAGCTCCTTTGTTAAATAAGCACGAGTTAGAACTTGAAAACTGGTGTACATTAGTGGTGTAGATTATTATTATTATCTATATATATATATATAAAAAGATTTACCATTTTGTAAATTTGGCAAAGTTTTTCCTGCCAAATCATTAATTATATCCTATATATAGTAAGTTTTGGGTAATTGTGAATAAGCAAAATAAAAAAAAAGGCTCTTTAATTGTTGGTTCTATAATTTTAGCTTCAAAATCGGTTGCAACTTGGTTTCCTTAATTATAGCTCTTTTAATTGTTGTTGCAAAATTTATGCAAAAGAGTTTGAAATAGGAATTCTTATTGACTTACTGTTCAAAATGCAACAATATCATCCAACCGGATACATTCTAATGCAACATTTCTATCTTACAAAAAATCTGTAAAGTAATACCGTCAACTATGATTTTAAGTAAGTTGAATCTTCCAAACAATGTGAAATCACGATAAATTTAATTTTCCAACTGGTTATACATATTTTTTTCAATTTTTTTTATTTAAAAGTATATATTTTTTTATTAAAAGATGATTAAATATTTTTTAAATAAGTTAAATATATATTATTAATACCATATTTACAACAAATCACGTGTGAATTGAGGAGAAATCTTTAGTCAAACTAAATAAGAGTTTTCCTTTCTTCAAAGTCTTTAAAACTCATCCAAATCAAACAATATATTTTATTCCTGTTGTAATCTATATATTCCATTTTTCTATCCCAGAATGTCCTACGCAAGCTATAAGGTTTTTTTTTTTTTGTCGTCTTACATTCTCTTCATCATAATTATAATATCTTCATCATAATATAAGTTTCTATAATTAATTGAAAAGCCTAAAATATTGGCTTTTGTTCCATACACCATTAAAGATTGTACAAAAAAATTTCATTACCGTATACCCGCCTAAAAAATCTCAAGGTAATTTTACAGAATCCCATCGCATAAATATCGACTTTTGGTTCCATACACGTTAAAGACTGTACAAAAAACCCATTAATGTATACCAGCCTAAAAAATCTCATGGTAATCTTACAGAATACTATCGCTCAGTAAATTTGAAAAATCTCATCTCTTAGGTATATACTCTAACATATTTTTTTAACAAAATTATGTATCATAATTTTTTTTAACGAGAATAAGATTTATCACATATTTTTCCTCCAAAAATATTAAATGCACATAATAAAAAGTTAATAGAAAAATGCATATTTAAATATTGTCTTCAATTTTTGTATTAATATCACTATATATAAAATTCCATTTTATTTGTTACATTTTAAATTATTCTTGATCTGTATTTGTAAAATTAATAAATCTGCATAAAGCGTGGAATTGTTATGCGTGCAATTTTTTTAACGATAACAACTTATAAAAAAATAATAAGAAATACCGTCATAATTTTCGGTATAATTTCATTATTTATTTTATATATAAGTTATAAATTTTCTCCCAACAAATTTATAATGATTTTATTTAGGCTAGAGATATTGTAGATACTTTTATATAATATTTGATCATGTCATATTATATCTCTATCTATATATACATATACACGTATATATATACATATTAAATTTAAATATTTTTAAACATGTTTTCTTTACGACAGAGTTTAGAAAACACATTTCATAAAATATAAACTTTAAATGTTTTTAAACATGTTTTATTTCCAAAATAGTTTAAAAAAATTGTAGGTGACTTCACATCCTTTAATAATAATACATAAACTTTTACATACTTTTACATGTTTTTAGTATTTTAAACATGCAAACTCTATGTTCTCTTATACAAGTTAATTATATAGTTGATAATAAACTGATATACGACAGTCAATTATATCATAGGTTAACCCCGCCACTCGAACTTGAGATCTATTTATAATTATTAAACTGATATACAACGGTAAATTATATCACATGTTAACCCCACGTCTTTAATTTATATTTTTTTTGCTCTTTTAAAATAGGATAATGGTTCCCCACCACTCGAACTCGAGACCTATTTATAATTATTATTTAATATAATAACTCGTGCATCGTTCGGGGCTACGCACTAGTTATAGGAATTAAATATATTATAAGAGATCTTGTCTTGTTGGACAAGTTAGGAATAGAGTTGTCTTGTTGGACAAGTTAGGAATAGAGTTTAGGAGTTTTATTTAAAGGGCTCCTCATCTATTGTTTTACTCAGTTGATTATTGAATGAAACTATGAATAGATTGTGAGTTTTATCGAGAGAGTATTTCGTTTATCCTTCTCATCCGTATGCTTCCCTACATAATAAAACCATCACAAAGAGTAAGCAATCAACATTGACACATCAAAGACCATCACAAAGAGTAATCAATCAACATTGACATGGGCAAGGCTGATGTACAATCTCCCACACAACCATCAACCAATTGCAAAACTGCGATTTGCCGCCTTCAATAAAGCTCGTTTTCAGTCCGGACGAGACATTTCATTCATCCGTAAGCAAATTCTACAATTACATGGCATGCCATGAAAAAACAAAGAAGAGCGACAAGTTCATACATGCATATGAAGATTTCCCGCCAAATAACAACATATAGATCATGAAAGCATTGAGATTATTACAAACGCTGAGGAAGAGAGACAGAGAGGAAGGTAAAGATGATATCCAAGGACAAGGAACTTCTCTTGAACCTCTGCTTGTGGATGAGTCGTTGCAGCTCTTTGGATGCCGCCAGCTGGTTAATCTGTTGGAGTTTCAAAGACAGAAGAAAACAGACAAATTCACTTTCATGGCTGTGCAGAAAAACCTGTTAGTTACCGAAAAGGGCATTAGCACAAGAAGTTGGGTTGCAGCTATAGCATTTTGTCTTGCAATGGCAGGGATGGGTTTTGCAATTGGCTGCACATATCTTTCCTGATTTTCTTAACATAAGAAATTTTCTTTTCTCTTGCTATAACTTGAAGATGGCAATGCAAAATGATAAACTATGTTTCAGCAAAGACGATAAAAAGGATGAGATTGGTGCACAATCTATCACAGAACTGATGGGAGTATTCAGTATCTTGGCTCCTTGAAATGATAAATGAGATTGGTGCACAATCTATCACACAACTGATGGGAGTATTCAGTATCTTGGTTCCTTGAAATGATAAATTTCTTCCGGTTCTTGTTTTCATGGAGGATATGGTTCATGGAGGTTATGGAGCGTGAACGAATTTACTGGTACATGACTCTCAATTTTTCCTTGACTGGAAGCGACTATTGAGGCAAAGCACAGAGAAACCGGCTACGCTTTCATCTGGCCAAATACTTGTATGGTGGTGCACCTCGTTCTGTTTCTGGAGTGTGTGTGTGTGTGTGTGTGTTTGTATACAGAAAAGGTGCACCGCAGCATTGACATATCAATTTCTCTGAACACATATATACAAAAGCCACAAAACCAACAGGGTTCAAACCGACTCCACGGAGCACATAACTGTTAACTAGGTGGAAACATAATCTCAATATATATACACACATCTACCAGTCAGTGGCACACCTACTATAATAAGTAAAAATCCGAAACGCCAAAAGATCACCAACTCAAATAATTGCCTCGTGTACGGACCTCAGGTGGCTGTAGCAGTCCTCACTGGCCCCAAACACTTGCAAGCACACCCAGCAGACGTGGCTCCCACACTTGCACTCTATGTGGTTACACCCGTCCACCTTCTCGATCGTAAAACCACAGCTTGGGCACACCTTCACATGCTCTTTCCCGACACACCATTCCTTGAGGGACAAGTCCGGGTCGTCCTTAAACTCCCTGTACTTCTCACACGACAGGTACGGGTGGTACTCCAGGTGGCACCCCGTGCAGGTCTCCACCAGGCATACCTCGCACGTGAACGGTGCCCCCGGCTCCCCAGGGCTCGCCACCCTGTAAACCGACGGGCAGTCGGGTGAGGGGCAGAACCTGTACACTCCCCCACTGCCAGCCACATAAGCAGCCAGCGAGGACTGGAAGAGCTCGTCCAGCTTCTCTACGTTCAGCAGGGTCTTCAGATCAGCAACCAGGATGTAGGCCCCGCACCCCTCCCTGGCGCACTTAAGCGGGAAGCCGTCGTGACTCTTGATGGCTGACTCACACTGCTCGACCAGGCACATACGGCAAAACCTGTGGCCGCAGCCCTCGAGCGCGTGGGGGTCTTCCAGCTCGCACAGGCAGACGGGACAGCTGGGGTCGTCGGCGTTTTCTGGGCCCGGCTGAAGCCCCTCCGTTCGTGCGAGGTCGTGGATGATCTCCTCGACTTTCTGCTTCAGCTCTTTATTTCCCGTGAGGAATATCGAGTGGCGTCTTGTCTCGAGGGTGAAGTGGCTGTTGGGGAACTTGTCTTCGAGCCCACGCAGGTCGGGCCCGAAATGCTGCACGACCCGTTTCATCATGTCGGGGGGAAAGGACCCGTCCCGCAAACGGATCTCGAGCTGCTTGCTTTCGTGCAGAGAGAGGAGGGCACAGACGAGGCGGGACTCTGCATCTTCGACTCCCGCGGGAGGGCCAAACACTCGCAAGAGCATGCGGTGCTTGTCGAAGATTATGTGGGTCCTTGTTTCTTGCTGAATGTTTTTCATCTGGGTAATCCCGTCCCATGAGAAGAGAACCTGGAGGACTGCAGGGGTAATATCGGGATGTTGCAAGATTTTTCCTTTCATCAGTTGCTCCAGATCTGTTCGCAAATCAGCCACGATTTTTGTGGCGGTGGCTGAGATCTTCACGCGGTAGGATCCGTTGGGGTTTCTCTCCAGAATACACCATTCTACACCTGCGTTAAGAGGTGTATGCCTACATCAGAACTAAGTAAAGATAAACCGTGCACTACTGTACGTACAGATGAACAGAGAGGCTTGCACTAAAAAGGGTAGCCGTAGCAATGGTCTGAACCATGGTATTTAGTCAGGCAGGGGCTAATAAAAGTTGTCATCAAATTGTTTTATATATAATGCCAGCCTAACTGAAGCAGACAGACCATTCTAAACAAAAACGCTACCTATACAACTAACTAGAGCATCACAAACAATGGGTGAAAACGTAATCCCTTAAGTTCAAAATTAAAAGTAATCATGACAAATTACAAACTGAAACAGGGCATTCACATATGGAATATATCCTATCAATCAAAAGAAAATTAGGCATCACAACATCAATCAGAATTCAACTAAGGAAAGCTCCTATTTGAACACAAGATAAATTCCACCAGACATATCTACATTCCATTTCTATCACAAGAAAATTCCAAGGAACATACAAGCATGTTGGAATATGTTTGCACTTTTAAGTGGGAACTGAAAACAAGTTTAATTATGCTATTTTACTTAATTCTACCGCAAAAAACAAGATAATGTAATTTGAGATATGCATCTATTGAAATAATCTGAGGAAGTTCTCAATGTCTATATGATTGTATGATTTGAAAATTATCAATTCTGAGTAATTCTTCATGCCAAGTAATCCAATGTTAATGAAGAATGATGATACAACATAGTATACAAAGGCCATTTCTGTGATGATGTTTAAGCAATCAACAGATCCATCATCCGCAGAATGAGTTCAACTAATGACCAAGAAACAAAAACAAAAGAACTTCAAACAGGTTAGGAAATTACCATTTCGTTGTCGGAGCCTTGACAACAAAGCATCTAGATCGGCCCTTATAACAGTGTACACAGGTGCAGGACAGCACACAGAACTATGAAACAACTGTTCACAACGTACTTTCTGCCACACATGACATCCAGGTAATGCTTTCCCATCAATTTGCTCCAGTGCCTTAGCTGCCTCCAAATGTAAACTTCCATCAAAAGTAATTGAGGCTTTCATGAAGATGTCCTTTGGATATGGTTGGGAAACCTGAACACCAACAACATTACCCTGTGTGTTCCTTCTAGGCATGAAAGGGAAAATTTCTCGAAGAATTGCTTGTTCAAAAGTCACTAGTGGAGGATCCTCTATTGGATTTCCTCTGAAAAGAAAGAAGTCCAGTATTCGTCTATTTGTTACCGCACTTAGCAACTGGTATATTTCGGGCTCAGAAAGATTCTTATCAAGTCCAGTAACTACAACACTGTCCTCAGACTTGACACTTGCTTCACACCAAACAAGCCTGCCTCCAATTATTAAATTAGATAAATCATCAACAATAGAAGCAACATCCTTCCGATCACACTTGATGATACCAACCCCTTTGCTGCACCTACGAGGCCAATAGATGTTGGCTCTGACTGAAGGAAAAGACATCGTTTTGTAATCAGCAACGCCAACATTTCTCGAAGGAAGCACTTTCAATAGTCCACCACTGAACATAAAATTATTTAGTTCAACAGCCGTCTTGGCAGCTTCAGGTGTGAGAAATGTCACCCTTCCCCACTTATCCTTGTCTTCATTGTCTAGACCCGATCCAAAGAACTTGCTAACGACACATACATGACCTGAGGTAAATCTCTCCAAGAAAACTAGGAGTTCCCTATCATCAAGTGCATTAAACTTTGAATGAAATATGTCAACAGTCAGATATCTCTTCTCGATTTCAAGGTGTTTTATTTCAGCACCAGCTCCAACGAGGGCAAATGAAGGTAAAACCTTGGGTCCTCCATTATATAGACATTTCTCCAAGCATTCATTTTGCAGGAACTTCTTTTCGCTCTCCAATCCCTCATTTACTAAGCCACGCACTTTATCCATATCTTGTGAAGTAGCATACAAAGTTATCACATTCTTATCAACATTAACTTCGATACCAATCCGTTCATCTGCACATGATTCTCTGATACTTGAAACAAGATGGCTCAAATTAGTATTAGATTTTCCACAAAATTTTTTCAGCAGTATACTCCCAAACCCTGATATGATCACCTTCTGCAACTGTCGGTTAATCATGCTCAAGAAATCAAACCTCGGAGGAGGAGAAAGGGCAGGCAATTGTTCAAAGTTGCATGCACTCACACAGACTAAATACTCATTAGATATTGAGAGTATATCCCCAAAAACTACCCAGGCTGGCCTCTGACCAAAATTTAACAAAGAACATGAAGGATGAAGTTGGACATGCTTCCTTGTTAATGCCACTTCATACCCTAGCTGATCATACCCAGAATACATGGCCACGTTGTCAGACAGCGATGAGAGTATTATATTCTTCAATTTCTTGTCATGCTTGGTGTGTAGTTGGGGATTCCAGCACCAATAGTTTGGCACGATGATATTCAGTTCATTTCTAAGGCAAGCTTCCAGCTCTAACACAGTGTCCTGACATCTCCTCAAGGACTTCGCATTGATGCTATTCTCCCAACACCAGATATTTTTCTTCTCTCGTGGCAAGGCCTCCCACTCTTTATAAACTGCAAGCAGTGTGAAGAGATCACCACTAGGATGGCAAAACTGCACCTTCTGGCAATCAGATTTCGACTTATCTACATATGTACCAACTCGGCAAAATATGCTACTGGAATTTGGCATTACTGCAGCAAGGACAAGACCCTCCTTCCCCAAGCGCTGGCGGAAGCATTGCAAAATTATCTTCCCAAGTCGAGGCTCAATACCCAACTTGACAATCTCCCTCCCTTCTGCAGTTAAATCATAAACATCACCTTTCACTGCAATTGCTCCTATTTGAATAAGACTCCTGACAGCCACATCTATAGCGTTAACGCTAGGAGAATCGACAAAGTCAAACTTCTGGACATCCTTGATGCCCAGAGAGACAATTTTTAGAACTGCTACACCAAGATTGGCTTTGCGAATTTCTGGCTCCTGGTGAGGTAGCATGGACTCAAAATCTCTTTCTGAGTAGAGCCTGTAACATGTCCCAGGTTCAGTTCTGCCAGCACGACCAGCTCGCTGATTAGCAGAGCTCTGGCTGATCCGGCAAACCCTGAGAACATTCATTCCAGAACCAGATTCAAATCTACTATCTTTCACCATCCCAGGATCAACGACGTACTTCACACCAGGAATTGTCAATGATGTCTCGGCAATGTTTGTGGCAAATATGACTTTTCTTTTACCTGGGTAGGTAAGAAAAACCCGATGTTGGTCCTCATAAGAAAGTTTCCCATGTAAAGGCAAAGCAATAGCAGATGGTGCTTCCAACTCCTCACACGCCCATTCAACTTCCATCTGCGAGGTCAAGAATGCTAATATAGTGCCTTCCCTCTTGGTTTTGTTGATCTCAGTTACCATCCTCAAAACATCAAGAACATATGTGGGGATTAATTTAGAAGGTGGAGGTTTTTCATAGTCACTAGATACATACTTAATGTCAACCGGAAAATTCCTCCCAGCCACATGCAAAGTCGTACAACCGAAGAAGTAGTGTGCAAATTGGTCCGCATCAGCAGTTGCAGACATAATGACAAGCCTGAGACAGGACCTCTTAATGAGTACATTCCTTATCAAAGCTAGAAGAAGATCGGTGTTTAAGCTTCTTTCATGAGCCTCATCAACAATAATGCATGAAATCCTGGATAACTGATTATCACTCATATAGTGCTGCAACAGGCAGTGATCGGTCATAAACTTTACCTTGGAGTCGGACTCCTGAATAGATGAAGATGATGGATAAAAGGAAACCAATGTATCGTTGTAGCAGTCATAGGTTTCCTCCTTAACTCTTTCTGCCAGTGAGATGGCAGCAAGTTTACGTGGCTGAGTACAAACAATAGCCTCATGATCAGCAAATCCAGAATCAGCAAGAAACTGCACCAACTGTGTGCTCTTCCCAGAACCAGTCTCCCCTATGAGTACTGTAACCTAAACAAGTAAAAACTCAAACTTTTAGATAGATGATACATGCTAAGGATACAAGCAAATCATTTTTTTTTTTTTCCAAGATATCTAAACTACAGTTTGCAGGTAAGAAATATAACTAATACGATTTCATGAAAATAGTTGAAAAAATAAATTGAAAGTTAAAAGTAAATTTAAACAACCTGCTGGCTGTCTATTTGCTTCAGGATCTCACGCCTATGGGCATAAATTGGCAGCCCATCATCAAGCCTCCTACATTCTCTAGTCAACAATTTGTGAATTCTCCACCAGTTTATCTCTCCATCTGTAAAACGGAAAATAGGAATGACTCCACCTTCATCATTTTCCCCATTCTCCAAGTAGTTTTCGATACAGCAAAGTGCACTCTTGAACTCCTCCACTCTTTTCAAGATTAAATCCCTCTCGGCCTCCAAACCTTCCCTTTTCCTTAACAGCTCACTAGAAAATACTAGCCTCTGGGGTTTCCTCAATAAGAGAGAAATCCTATGAATCTCATCCACTAATATCCCTAATTTCCTCCGCCACTTTTTAACAATATCCCCCTCTTCCAGCTCCTTCAGTTTCCCCAGAAACAGCAACTTCAACCTATCGTTCAATTCCGACTTATCGGAAGGAACCTGGACGATAAAGATAACTCGAGGCCAGAGGTTATGCTTCATGTCACCTAATTTCATCTCCCACAGTTCCACCACAGTCTCCAGAGCCTCGCTCCACTGCTCGTAATGAAGTGTGCCTGCAATATAATTGCACGAGATGACATGTGATTTCTGCGGTTGGAACCTGAGTTTCTGGACGACAGCCTCCGTTTCCTGCTTCACGGGGCGCTGGGCGTCCGATCGGAGCTGGACGATGAAGTTCGGCCGAGCCGGAGACGGGGGCGGGCCGGGGGGCCGATCACGATAGGGGGGAGAGAACTGGGGTTTCGGGCGGTTCTGTTGGTACGGCGGGCGGAGCAACGGCGGGCGTTGGTAGTTGTCTTGGTGAGGCAGGAGACAGCCACGGCGGTGGTGGGGGTCGGGTGGCGGAGGCGGACGGCGTACGCCGTCGGGAGCGCGGCTGCGGTGCATACGAGCAGTTTGAGGTGAAAAAATTGGGAATTTCACCAAACCCTAGAAGAGAGTGAGAGGTATTAGGAAAAGGGAGAGAGAGAGAGAGAGAGAGAGAGAGAGAGAGAGAGAGAGAGAGATTTTGTCTTGCTAAAGGCAACAACTGAAAGCACAAGCAATCACAGTAGTGTGTGTAGAGAGAGAAAGAGAGAGAGAAAGGGAAAATATGGCGGCCTGTGTAGTACATTCCAGAAGCGTGTATTCCAATAAAATATAATTAATTGTGAAGAGTGAGAGATGAATGGGCGGAACGGAAGTCTTTTGGACTTGAATTGTTTACCCATAAAAAAAACAGTGAAATATTGATATGTTTTGTGGAAAATTGTTTGAAGAAAATAGGAGATATATAAATTATAGAACATAACTAAATGCAAGATATTAATGGTTAAATCAATATAATTTTGGTAAATGTTTTATTAATAAGTGGAAGTTATGAAAAAAAGGGATTAGTAGATTTTATAATAGAATTGTGATTGGAGCTGTTAAATTAAACGAGTCGCTCGTGAACTCGACTCGATAAAGCTTGAAAATATTATTTTATGTGGATTAGTAGATTTTATAATAGAATTGTGATTGGAGCTGTTAAATTAAACGAGTCGCTCGTGAACTCGACTCGATAAAGCTTGAAAATATTATTTTATATATTTTTCTATAGTTTGACTCAATTTTGGTTGGTCAACGTCAAACTCAACTCTTTAGTATTGATAAATAAGTCGAACTTGAGCTCGATTATAAGCTCGTTAAGGACTCGAGCTCGACTCATTTACCCCCATAATTTTGATTTTTATTTAAAAGGTTGAGAGGAGTTGTAAGAACATCCACAATGCTTTGGGTCTCTTTTTGCATATGTGGCAAATAAATAGACTTAAGTCCATAATGACATGGACAAACCTAAACTAAAAAAACCAAAATCTATCCAATGCAAAACCAAAAAGTACTAGGTCTAGAATACATGACAACCAATAAAAATACTCTAGTATATTTCATTTATTAAAAGAAAAATTAAATGAGGAATAAATGATGAGTGCTTGGGTTTGTACTTGGGTCTAAAATACAAAAATTCTATGGTGCCCATATGGGCACCATAAGGCATGCCACAATGTGATGTGGAATATTAGGTGGCTTTACTAATTACACTAATAAATTCCAACATGGATATTAGGTGGTGCTTCCATAAAAATAACACAAAATAATTGTTAAAGAAATA